GAACAAGGATTAGCTGAAGTATAAAAAATATATATCCGAGCCGAAGCTTAGTACTTAGAGAAATTTAAGTAAAAATGGCAAAGCAAATGGAAAAAGAAGAGGAAGAAGAAAGGAAAAACTTAACAAAAAAAAAAAAAAAAAAAAAAAAAAAAAACTTAAGTAAAAAAGCTTAAGCATCACAAGTTTACATGCATCAGCAGCCTCTGGCTTTCCAAAAAAGGGTTCGGCACCCTAGTAAGTGGCTCGGATGTCCCGGAAGCAGCCCGAGTAGTCCAAGCCTTGGCTCTTTCCAGCTCAGACATGCTGAAAAGGTTGCCGAAATACTCCATGGTTGAGCTGCGCTTGGATTCGAAAAAGTTTCGGGCATGCTCGGGGATAGGAACCGAGGGGGCACAACCGAACCCCATCTTAGCAGACTGGAAGGTCTTGAAGGATTCAGCAGCCGAGGTAGAAGGCATATCAATGTTTTTGGCTTCTTCAACCTTTTCTTCTACTTCGATCTCCTTCGGACCATCAGCACCAAGACCCTTGGGGTCTTCACTCAAAATTTGCACTTTGACCTCGGGGTGGACGAGTAGTGTATCGGCTTCCCTACGAACCTCATCAGAAAAAGGTTCAGCCACGTGCCGAGGGACAAAAGGAGGAGTCTTCATTAAAACTTCTCCCTCAGCGCGGACCTCGGGAGAGGGAGGAGTCATCTCTCTCTGTTCCTTCGGCTCGTCCTCCTCGAGCCGAGGCTTCTTTATTGGAAGAGGGGAAGCCTGAAAGTGCCCAGGAAAAACAACTCGCCTCTTTCTCTTAGGGCTACTCATTTCTTCGTCTGAAAAGAGGTTTGCTTCAGTTGGCTCTCCTATATTCTCTTCTTCTTCGTCAGACTGCAGCAGAAGGAATAGGGGGGCAAAGAGAAGCATGAGTTCAAAAAGTTCCAAGCAAAAAAAAAAAAAAAAAGAAAGAAAAACCCTTAGTCAAAGCTCAGTACTTAGAGAAATTTTGAAGAAATTAAAAGAAAAAGCTAAGTAAAAAGAACAAGGCAAAAGAAAAAAAGAAAAAAGAGAAGAAATTTAGACAAGTCTGGAAGTCTTACTGAAGTCTTCAACAGACGCTCATCTTCAGTGTCTTCCTCTCCTTCGGTTATTTCTACTCTCGGCCCAGCAGTGGAGGTAGAAGGCTCAGCTCCGCTTCGAGAGACCGCAGCGACGATAGTTGCAGCTGCATCTTCTTCAGCGGAATGAAGGAAAAAAGGGTCGATCTTCTCGAACCAAGGCTTCTGCGTTTGGTACTCAACAGTGCTGACCACTTAAAGCCTCCTTGGGTGCAGGGAAAGGGCCCAGTCCTTAGAATCAGTGATCTTTGGGGTGTTTGTGATCGGATTCCTTTTCTGAATGATCCCGAGCACTTCGTAATCAACGCCCGAGTTTTCTTCGCACAGCTTTGAAAAATCAAGAAGATAACGGTTAGCTTGGCCGAAAGAATTAAGCATCAGAACGCAGAAGATAATGAAAAATAACAAAGTTTTCGGCCCCAGCCGAATCCCTTACCGCCTTGGTACTTTCGGCTGAGGTCGACAACAGCAAGGATCTTCTCTTAGAAGATATAGTGGCAGCAAGACAGCCAGATGGTTGGCACATTTGCCATTCGGCCTGTGGCCCCGGGCATGTGTTTGTGATAGGCATCATGAACTCATCAGGCCCGATGCTGAACATCTTAGGGTCTGGCTTCCTTAAGTATCGAGGGTCGCCGAAGTAATTTGGATGATCCTCGTCTGACGGCGCCCGAATCTAGATCCACTGGGCTCTCCGGTCCTTATCCGAAGTATCATTCGGATAAGTCGAAAGGAACCCCCTTTCGTCCTCAATTTGCCACAGGCTAGGGCCATGCCATTTATTGGACTGTGTGTTTGGAATCAGCTAGTGCGTGCAGCGGAAGCAGTGCACGCTCGGCTCAACCCCGTAAAACAGGCAGACCTAGAGATAGGTCATTATCCTTCGGATGCTAACAGGAGTCAACTGAGCCAAAGAGATGTTATACCCGTTCAGTAACTTCACAACAAAGGAGTAGGCAGGAAACCGAAGCCCATACTGCAACTGCCGAGTGTAAACCCCAATATTACCAGGTGGGGGACGATGAATTCTCTCCTCGGCAGTGGGCATTCGGTACTAATACCCGTCCTCCTCCATTATGCCGTAGAACACTTCAAGTTGCTCGGCAAAGTGATAAGTGGCGTCATTTTCGACCCACCACGAATAAGGGGCGGCCGTCATTATGCCCTCAAACTCCTGAATATCGATCCACCCCCTTTCCTCGGGAGTCAACGGCCTAGATGCCGAGGTCCACTTCAGCCAGAGGTACTGGCTCCCTCCGAGGCTCTGGGGGGCATGCTGGAGATCGGCACAGCCCTCAGGTGCAGCCCCCCTCGGGATAGCAGCAGCTCCAACCCTAGCATTAGGGTTCCGGCCGCTGAGAAATGGCATCATTACCAAAGGGCGATTCCGCCTCGAAATCAATTGCGGCATTTTCTCCTCATCTTCCTCAACAATTGGTTCGAACTCCATTGGCCTTTTTCCTCGGTCACCGGTCATTTTTGAGCAAAGGAAGTGCGAGAAAACGGAAAAAAAGGGGTACTTGAAAAAGCAAAGAAAACCGAAGAAATTTCGAAGAAAATTACCTTTATCGAGTGCGGAATTTGCCGATCTTTGAGTTCGAGGCAACAAATTCTACTTTAAAGCTTCGGATTGCTTGGTATAAGCGGGGAAAGAACTCGGGTTAAGGGCGAAGATTAGGGGAAAACGGGTGTGAATACGCGAATGGAAATGAAGTGAAGGAGAAACGTGGGATGAGTGGTTTAATTATCTTCCAGAAACAAGAATTTCGAGAGTCCGTGCCACTTAAACCCCCACTAATCCCACTTCAATGATCATCTGCTCATATTCTTCTCTAATTAGCCACCCACTAATCCATCCAACTTCCCCATTACTCTAAAATAACCGTTATTACCTCAATAACCTCCAAATTCAAATGCTAATTAAAACAATTTACTTCCCTCTAATTTTGCAAGTCAAAACTCGACCCGTCATCCAGCCAAATTGGGTCTTGGGGGCAAGTTGTTTGGGTCCAAATGTCTTTCATTGGGTCAGTCCAGAGGTTTTAATTACAAAAGTCCAAAAGCAAGGTTCAACTCTCCAACTCATGCCAAGTCAGTCAAGCCCAATCAGCATGGCAAGCCAATCTGATCCTGCAGCCCATTCATCCATGGAGCAAGGTATAAAAGCCTACAATTAACTCATTCAACATTCATTCAGATTAAGCCTCAAGCATTAAATTCTCTTGCATAGCTTTCTCTCTCTCTCTCACACTGTACTGACTTCGGCATCGGAGGGGCCTTCCTCGACACAACCCCCGAGGCCAGTTTACGTGTGTTCGCTGTGCAGGAAACCCTCGGCCCAATCTCAGCTTGGATCGATATCACTCTTCTCCCATCGAAAAGGGTCTGCCGAAGGTCCTATTGTTTTCATTCGAAACATTTATAATTGCGTATGGGGGTGGATGAAGTGTGTAAATTAAACTTGTACACATGCTCTTAAATTTTTGCCACATATATCTAGACATTAACCTCATGAACAATCACCATTCTATTATCTTCCACAATTTTTTGCCGATAAGTTAACATGTTAGAATTATCTGAAACCCTAAGACATAGCTATTGGGCTTATAAAATTTGGCCCACATTAAAACGAACAACAAATTAACGAAGTGCATCACTACTAAAAAAGTTAAATATATAATGTATTTACATTACATTCATGTAAGATATTGGGCATAGAATCCAAACAAATAAATGGACTATTTCAATTTTAAGGTAAGTATATTGTAAGAAAGTTATAAATCATAACAGATCTCCCATTTCACATGTTAAGTGATGTGCCAAATCCAAATTTATTTAAAAATTGAAAAAGGCGCGTGGATAATAATGATCTTGTTTATCGTAACAACCAATTATTTTTATTTCACCTTTTCTCTCCTATTTAAGTTATGAAATAATTGTTGATAACACACAGAAAAAAAGAGTGAACGCCCACAGAGTAAATTCACAAGTAGAAAATGAATGAAGGTTTTTCGATTCATGTCCATAAGATGTGATTAAGTTCGTACGCTGGCTGCCATATACCTACCACAACTCTCCTCCTTTATCCAGGCTTGATATCGACAATGAATGCCAACAAAGTAGCATTCAGAGGTAAAAAATGAATGGAGATAAATTTTCACTTCTATATTTTATCCAATCCTTTGATAAGTTCATGCCATTTTCTATTAGTTATGAAGTGTTTTTTTTTCATATTTGCACAACACTATTATTGAATGTGAGAAATGCATTTCATGAGTGTAAAATTAACTAGATACACTATACCTCTTGTGTGTAAATTTTATTATTTTATTCTAAACAACTTAATTAGTTGTACACATTTGAATTCAGTTCAAATTTTACGTTATAACACGACACTTGTCATTCTCCATATTCTTGAATATTAATTTCGTCTACCATACAATTTTCAAAGTAACGTGGATTAATTTTAAAAGTAAAGTTAAATTCGCGAAATGATACATGTATTTCTTTTTATTTGTATATTTCTATTAAACTCTTGCTTTAGTTTTCTTTTTTGTTTTCAAATCTTGATTAGAAAAGAGATAAAATTGAGGTTTTGGGCTTTCTTCAATTCTCAATAGCTCCTTTTTTTTTTTTTTTTTTTTTTTTTTTAAGAATACCTTTCTTCTCTTTTGCTTTTTAAATAGGTACTTGCATATATTAAGCCTATATATTCTTTAGTACACACCTGAATTGAATAAAACCATGGTTTTATTTACATTAATTTTATACAAAGAAAGTACTCCAATCGTTCTAGTTTATTTTTTTTTGTTGATTTACTATTAAAAAATCGGTCATTTTCTAACCACTTTCAAAGAGTTTGACCCGTTAATATTTTATTTAAATATAAATTAAAACGATGCTAGATACTGAGAAGTGGAAGGCAAAGAAGATCAACCAAGTAGCCCAACATGAAATAATTGTGATTGGTGATAGTGACGACGATGATGTTAATGATTATGTTAACAACAATGGCAATGATGATGATGAAGTTGAGATTATTTCGTCTAATGAAATCTTTTTCGAACCTGAGGAATTGAAGGGAATGACTTTGATAGAAAGAAATAACGAAGTCATAAAACTTCTATGTGGTATTACCCATCCTAAATATGGTGATTCTATTGGCAAAATTTCAATTTATCGTGACGGTAGAATTGAAATAGATTGTGATTGCTATCCTGGCTGCAATGCAGGTACATACAATTTTTTTTTTCTAAAGCCGTTTATTGTTTTCATCATTATTAAGTTACATGCGACCTTTTATGAATTTGTGCAACTTGTAATTGTCACATTTTTCTAACCCTTTAGACTTATGGATATGATACAGATGTACCAAAAGATTTTTTTTAAGAGTTTGATCATTCTTGCACTTTCTCAATCAATTAATTTTAGTATATGTATATTGAAATTTTAATCTAAATCATTATTCATACTACTATTAAAAAACAAAAACAAAAAAAAAACAAAAAAAAAATAATAATTACTAATACTATAAAAAGCTAACAATTATTTCTGAAATTAATTGTAGACACCAATAATTCTGTTTAATTGATAACAGGATCCCTTGTAATTAATCTATATGCATGTATTTATAAGCTCATTGTATAGTTTATTTACAACAAGTTCATTGTATATAGTTATTTGAAACTATTTGAACTTAATTAGTAAATGTATTATCCACGTGAATAATATACTTTTACATCACCTTCCCCTCTACTCTCAAGTGTTGACCTATAAGACGGGCTGTTTAACCCTACATTACTTGGTGCACAGAAAAAATAAGTCCAAGTGAATTCGAAAAGCATGCAGGGTTTAATGGAGTGAGCAATTGGAGGGGCCATATATGGGTTTTTGTTGATGTAACAAAAGAGCGCCTAAGGGAAACAAAACTGCTCAAGTATTACAGAGGATCAACTAAAGATCGCAGTGATCCAGTTAAGCCTGCTCGAAGTCGAACTGTCCACCGTGATGAGTTCATGAAATGCACCGCTTGCGGCAAGCGCCGACCCTTTCTGCGCCGAACCAAAGACCAGTGTAAGGTCTACCACCAAGCAACCAAAAACAGTGATACTTGGACTTGCTCTGACTTTCCTTACTCATTGTAAGTCTATTATCATATGTCTCGTCACTTATATACTTCGTACGTTCTTAAATCTTAATCATATTTATTACGTGTTAAGGACCAATTCAACCAAAACATTAAGTTGGTGGTTGAGGTCCAAGAATAAGTTTTATATTCTATCACGCTCCTTCATACTAAAGCCCCTTGGGGTTGAAATGTGGATGCAGCATGGGCCCTCCTTATATACACCACTTAAGAGTCATGCTGGCTCCGATATCATGTTAAAGACCAGATCAACCAAAAGCTCAAACTGACAATTAAGGCCGCCTAGGAATATGTTTTATCACTACATACAACGTGTCATGATTCATGCATATTTGCACAATTGCACATACTAGTATTACATTTCTACTCGTATATGTTTTTGGATTATAGCATTACCTCTTAATCATATTTATGTACAACATGTCACGGTAGATGCATATTTGTACATACTAGTATTACATTTCTATATGTTTTTCGATAGTATACAACATTACGGCATTACCTGAAATACGTTACTTCTTTTAAGATTGTGTCTTCGTTCCTAATAATATATGTTCGATTGTTTGGAGTGTACACCATGTAACATGTATACGAACTAATATGAGAACGATTTTTTGTAATGTATAGCTTAAGGTGTGAGGATGATGAAAGAAGGGGAGCGAAAAATCTAGTAAGGGGATGTCCTGCAAAACCAACATGCGAGGGTTGCACATCATGTGTATGCTTTGGTTGCGATATGTGCCGATTTGACGATTGCGACTGTCGTTCTTGCCTGGATTATATTCTGAATATTGAATCTTGAATTGGAGATTATTATTGAGGAATGCAGATCAAACTTTATCCATGTAATAATGGTAGAATTTATCAACATGATTGGATTTTATTTTTAAATTTTTATTCTAAAACTATTTTAGTCAATTTTCTGTAATAAATTACAAGCTGAAATTCTGCAGATTTTTCTTATTAGGCTATCTTCACTTCACCTTATTTTTGCCGAACTAGTTTATTTTTACTGAAATGATTTTTTTTTTTTTTTTGAAGCAAAAATGAATTGAAGCAAAAATGAATTTATTTTTGCTAAACTTAAAATTATTTTTACTGAACTAAAATTAATTTTGCTGAATTGAAATTATTTTTATTGATTTTCTATTATATTTCCAATTTAAAGTTACTGAATTTTACTGAACTGAAATTATTTATACTGAATATTTTTTTTTTTTTTAAGGTGGAGTGAACTGGGCCTAGTGTTACTATTTCTTTATAATATTTCATGCATCCGACTTTACTTGTGCCATTATCACAAAACCTTATATATAAGGAATATGACATGCTTTACATTTTTTGTATGTAATAGTAATTGTATTACTCCATGTCTCCCTCATCCCTCAATTTTAAAATTTTAGTTATTATTTTACCCACTATTGTTTTGGCTTAGACAAAACGCTACTCACTTGTCCACTACCCTAAACGCTATTGCCAAATGAAACCTGTAACTTCTACTCTGTACCATTATTAGTATTGTCCTTCCTTTCGATCATAATATATGGGCCTATTAATGCCGAATAATTAAGGAAGTAATATAGGAAATGGGCTTCTTTTCATCTATATTTATATTAGATCATACTTTCTCTGTTTTATTTACTTGCAACTGTGGAACACGTCATTTTAACATGCATTTCAAGAAAGATATATATTATAGACTAGCTAGGTAAACGGACAAATTAATTGAATTAATTTTACCATCAATAAGAAACAAATGCTAAGTTGTTACTTTCTAAAATGGTGTGCCAAGATTGTGTGTTGATAGTATATGAAAAACAAAGGAAGTATATCAGAAAAACAAAATTGATGCCACAATGCCACATAAATTTGCCAATTACTCCTACTTTCACTAGCAAAGAACATAATCAAAATGTTTTTTCTAGCTACTGGTATCACAAGGTCATAAGTGTTGCATTTTCAGAGCATCAAAAATTTTAGTGTACACAAAATTTACATTTAGTGAGCAAGGGCGCAAGAATACCAGCATAACTGTAATTGTGAAGTCAGAACTCAGAAGATGTTATAGCAGCAGCAACTAGTCATCTACCACTCAATTTCCTCACTCCCATTTGTTAGTTGCTACCACCGCTCTACCACTCAATTCCCTCACTCCCATTTGCTAGTTGCTACCACTGCAGACTACACTTAACCTATTCCCTGACAAATACATCCTCGCTTTAGTTGCTCTTACCAGTCGGAAACAGCACCAAACAAAAAAATTACATTGACTGCTTCACGACTTCATCATTGCAACATCTACCACTAGCTGGAAACAAGAGTAAACAGCAACCTTCTTAGCTTGAGTTTGTAATCTTTTTTTTTTTTTTGACGGGAGCTTGAGTTTGTAATCTACAAACACTACCACAACCGGATAATGCTGACCAGCAGCATTTATATGACTCCTTGTGGAGGTCCACTTCCAAAACGATACCTGCCTCTACCTCTTCGTGCATTTTGAATGGCAGTGATCACAGTGTTCCCTAGAGCACCCAAAGCACTCGGTCCCATGAGCTTTAGCCCAAGATTGTTGAAAAAATACAACAACCTATCTTGGTCTCCTCCATTTACTTGTTGCAGCTGTTCTACTTGTTCACGAGATACTACTGCGTAAAGCTGCAAAGGAAGGCTACTGTGTTTTGCACATTTTGTCCCCTGGTCAACCAAACAACTACAATCATCACAGAGTTCACTGCTGAAGTCCTCAAAAGCAACTCTCAAAAGCCCAAGGGAGCTCCCAATTTCTGTCAACGGATCGAGAATAAACAAGAACCTTCCAACCTCTAAGTCAGGCCTCCTAAAAAGATCAAGAAGGGTATCAAAGCTGGGTCCAAGACTTTTTTGCCCATATTTCCTTCCATGCAACTGCAAACTCTTAGTGCCTCGATAAATGCGGCCAGCTTCTCTTAGGCCACTCAAAAATGCACCATGCATTGTGGCCGGGTACTTCCTACTTGTTGCCTCACCAGCAAAGAACAATCGGTTTTCAACACTTTCAGATAAGATATCATAGTCGATACCAGTTGAACCTACTCGAACGTGAGAATATGAGCCATAGGAAAGAGGATCAGTGCCCCACCTTGTGCAAACTGTCTGAATAGGATCAGGCACTTGAACTCCTTTTGGATTGTATATACCTATTAAGCCACCCACAAAAGTTAAGCAAACAATGAGGATCAATATGAATCAGAAGCCTGTTAATGAGAATGGAAACAATTAAGGAAATTGTGATGTAACAGGGATATACAATAGGAAAATAGGTCCGAATCCCCTCTTATTTGTGTCAATTTGCACCAAGTCACCCCTATTTCTAAAATCTCAGTTGTAGAACCCATGTTTTATTGGCTAAGAATTTACAGCCATCTAGAGTCTTTCAGTTAATCAGCCATTCAAATTCTCGCAAAAAGATTACATCGACATCAATTATGAACTCTTCCACAATGCCTCTAAATCGATCTGGCTAATTTGGGGAACCAAGGGAGGGGGGCCAAATGCAAGCAGCCTTAACAATGCAATAATAATAAATTCTGTTTCTAAATACCCTTTGATACATTTGCAACCGCTATACACTTTCATAGTAAATATTTCCTAGTATAAATGAACAGTTTGAAATTTTGGAAACAAGGGATTACGGATTCTGCATCGGACAATTCATGATTAGATAAATAGTTATGGTCAGGATTTTTGAGAGAATTGCAATCCAAAAGGGTGAATTCTCATTGATACCAGCAGCTAATACACAAATCTGTAAACTGTCATACGTGATGCACCCATAGTACAATCATATATGATCTTCAATGAACCATTAATAATTTTATAAGGAACACAATCCTACTACAGTGCTACGGAGAAAATGATCTCGAGCAGATTATATATGTTTAGAACTAGAAGGAATTTGGATCGTACAATTGATTCTTTCACAAAGAAATGGGAGCTGGTGGCAATAATCCAGTGAAAGGAGGTTATGTATTCATACGACTAGCATTACAATCTTGAAGTCTACAATTATAGATATAAAAATATCTTTTAGATTCTTCATCATCAATACATCATTAACAGTAGGCCAGTGAACGTAACACCCTTTAACTTCCAGACAAGTTGGATCATATTATATTCAGATAGAAATATTGCATCAAGATAGAAATATAGAATCATATTAATAACCTAACATTTCATAGTTATAATTCAAACAAACGGAAGATGGTTTTAAAAAAATAAAAAAATAAAAAATAAAAAAAAATTATGATTTCAATAAAAATCAAGGACAGCCTCCAGCAAAATCTTACGATCTGGAAATAGAAAAACCATGGACAGTCATTGTCAAATGCGCGCACACACACCCAAACACGAAAAGGATGTTTTGTCATTATGCGGGAAGTACTAAAAACTAGGGTACCTTTAGGTTAGCTTTTTATACTGCATAGTAGTTGAAACTGCAAACATACCTCTGAGCAGATTCAAAACTCGATGCAACAGAGTGGATGGATCAGTGTGTTCAAAGTCCTTGGCAGCTTCTCCTGCAACTAAGGCTACGAGTACCGCACCACCAGAAACAGTATGGTAACCATAGAATAGAAAATACTCTCCTCGTTCATGGGTATGATTTCTAAGAGAACCAAATGTGTCAAGTTCTTCTCCCCAAAATACATGAGGAAAAACCATTGCAACTTTATTCAGCAACCCAAAACCCAATCGATTAATAGCCGCTAGCTTGTTTTGGGGCAACTCAGGCTCAAATGTAATTGCCTTTCGCTTCAGCACCCCAAGAGGCACAGTACACAAGACAACATCTGCTTGAAAGACTTGGTCCCCAGCTATCACCTCAGCACCGTCATTTCCATATCTAATAGTGTTAACAGTCTTCCCGTACAATATAGGAACTCCTTCACACAAGGACTTGATCAGCCTCCAGTTACCACCGGCAAGGAAACAATGATCACCCCCCATCTCATAGGGATCATCCTGATCCCAATATGAGGCTGAGAGCTCTGATAAACATCCGGCATTAGCATATTCCAAATTCGCATAGTGCCAATCAAGGAGTTGAATTTCATCTTTACTTTTGACCACCGAATAAAGATCTTGAAGAGTATCCAACACAGAACCCAGAGAAATATCATTAGCAAATCCACCCATGATTTTTCTCAGCTCAGTTACTTTATCCAACAAACGATTAAAAATAAATTCAACACTGGAATCTATCTTATGATCAACTGGCATTCCATCTGGCTTGTACAAAGGACATTTATCTCTCACCTTATGCAACGGTATTGATAGTTGCCTAGCCAAAACCCCCAAAGGATTAGCATGAATGCCGGTTATAACGCTTCCACCTAACTCAACTGCAGCAGACTCACCCTTTTTACCCATCTTCTGAGTATAGACTCTACCCCCAGGACGGTTTCTTCCTTCAAGGACAATGACCTTAAAGCCAAACGACAGCAACTGCCTTGCTGCAGCAAGACCGGCAAGTCCTGCCCCAATTATAATAACTGATCCCTCAGATGCCTCCTCTGGAATCTGAGAAGTAAAAGCCGGTGACACACCAAAATTAATGTACCCATTGTACAAAAGAAAATCATAAGCAGAGGAGATCAAATGCTCAAACTCACTACTAACAGTTTCCCTAACCTGCCCCTTAGACAGCCAAACTCGAACATTGCCTCTCCACCTTGCAAGAATATGGTTCCTTACAACAATGTAGTCATTCTGTTCTTTCCCACCTAGGTCCCCCACCACACCCGCCCTAATCTCCTCATCGAGCAACGCATCGATGGGGAAACCGAGCGATATAGCTATCATAGCCTCAGTTTCAGTTTCTTTCTCCAAGTCATCCCTAGTTCTATTCCTTTTCTTTAAAGGGCCACCTAAATGCTCCTCTATAAGATCATCCATCAACTTCTCATCATAATTTTTCGTACTAACTTTCCTCCTCAACGACCTTTTTGGAACAACCCCATCCGAAACCGGGGTCTCCATGTTCAACCCCACAAACAATACCCAGAAAACTAACCACAATAACAAGCTAAATACAACTACTATACAAAACTAAATGTTTCATCAATCATACCAAGATGCATATCAAACTAAACCAATGTCATAAACGTAACAAATCACATAATACCCACATTAATCTTATTCATTTCTACACTATAAACAGCAAAAGTAAATTTACACTAGCCAATATTTTAAAACGCAATTCTTTCCTACAACAATGGCCAAAACGCCCCATGCAAAATGGCTCAAATAAAGGGTAAATTCAACCTTTAATTGAAAAGGAAAAACATGGGCATACCTTAAAAACTCCGAATTTCCAAATTAAGAGAAAATCAAAATAGGGGTAAAGAGAGAGAAAAAAGGGATTAGTACAAGGGTAAAATAAATTCGGAAGAACTGAAATGATTTAAAACAAAAAATTTAGAAATTAAATCGAACTGTAGTGAAGAGAAGTTGAAAAGGGGTGGTGGGTAATTTGAATTTTTAGTGATGGAGCGGTTGAAAGAATTTAATTTTGAAATTAGGGTTCTTGCGGTATTTAGGAATTGTGATGATGATGTAAGTGGGAGCCTCGAAGTGTGTGGGAAGTGAGAGTAAAAACTTAGAATATTTGATTGGAGGGAAGTGTGAATAATTGAAGTGGGTCCAATTTAATTAATTGGATCATATCTTTGGATTTGGTATGAAGGTTCCCATATTTATGGGGCTAATCCAAATTAGTTGAGGCGGTCTTGGAAATTTTGGCTCTCTAAAATTTGCCCCTTATGTTTGCAAGTTTTTGTGGCAAGTATGCATAAGTTCTTAACTTGTGTGGGAATTGCAAGATTTAACTTTGTAGTTAAACAAAGAGAGGAACTAATATACATTCTAACATGATATCATCACCGGTTGAGAAAAAAACATAAAGGAATGATGCATGTTGCTCAATTGGCTGATTGTAAAGTTAAAATTTAAAAGCACCAATCAAACATTAATAACGCTGATCGACTTGTGGATATATTGATGAATTTTTAAACTATTACTATTCTAGATTTTCTGGAAATATATATCATAATTGCTAAGAATATAAAAATGGCTTATAAATTTAAGGATTGAGATTTGTGAAAGTTGTTGATCACGGTAACAATTTTGTGGCTAGTTGGTCACGGTAATAATTTTGACTTAATTTTTTCTTTAGTTTTACTTCAATGCTCAATTCCTCTCCCCCTTAGGGCCGTCTATTAGGGGGAGCACCTTGAGTGACGGCTCAGGGCCCCTCTATTCGTGGGTCCCGTCATTTTATAAATACTTTTTTTATAAAATAAAATGAATTTTTAAATGCTTGATAAATATGATAAGTATTTGGTTTTCCCTATATATTATCATTAGTTACGGGTCTCTATTAATAATTAATTTAATATTTAAAATTCAATCGTAATAACAAAAATACTCATACATAATTCTACTATTTTTTTAATCTTATACAATTAAGGTTCACACATATATAAACACGGTTGTAATTTTTTTTACACAACAAAATAAAACAATTCTTGAAGAAAAATAAAAAGAAAATAAAATGTAAAGCTACGCTATATGTATTTGTTTAACTATTTGTGTGAGACATTAAATGGTTTATATAGGATTGAAAAAATACTGAATTTAAAGTGGGGATAATATATATGATAAATTATGTTAATGTAATTAATCTTTTAGCCGAATAAATGATAAATGATGAACAATTTATTTTTGCTGGAAAATGAGAAAGGATATATATTTAGTTTCAAAGATTTTTTCTTATTTTTTTGTATTTAATCCAAAACTGATATTTTTTTTTTAAGAACTGATATTTTTTTTTTAATTTAACGTGATATCAAATTTTTTATTATAATTTTTTTAAAAAAAAATATTTTATTGTAATCACTTCTTATATTTCATTACTTTTTTTTTATCTAATCCTTTTTTTTAATATTAATTAAATGTGAATTAAATTTTTAAGTTTAATTGTTTTTTTAATTAATACGAAATGAATTAAATTATTTATTTTCTCATATTTAGATAAAATTTCCAATGTAAACAAATAATATTTTATTTTTATAATTAATTTAAGCTTTTAATTCTAATCCTACGTGGCTCTTTAAAATAATAATCCTACGTGGTGCTTTAAATTAATAATCCTACGTGGCATAATCCTACACGTAACGCTCTAATAATAATAATCCTATATGGCGCTCTAAGAATTTTTTAAAAATAAAAATCATACGTGAATCTCTAAAATCTTGGGAAAAAACTCTCCATATATATATATATATATATTAGATTAGTTTTACCCATACCATGCTAATAATCTTTTACTACGTCCATTTAGTGATAATTGTAATATGTAGCTTGACTTTTACACTATTCATATGCTTACTTTGACAATACTTTTTACCCATGTATAAAAAACATATGTTATCATGTAAAAAATTATGGATTAACTTTATATATTTTCATTATATTAGCCTTTTATATTTTTTAATAATATATAATTACAAATATTAATATGTTAGTGTTGCGAATATTATGAAATTGAAGGAGTGTAATATTGCCTTCTTCTCTCTCTCGTTTCAAATTTTGGACGCCTGTCAAAATTTAAATACGGTGGTAAAAAAAAAAAAAAAAAAAAAAAAAAAAAAAAAAAAAAAAAACTAAATAATTCAATTATAATCCAAATAATATAAGGGGTAAAATATTTTGTTGCTGAATTAAGTATAAAATACACTTCGTAGTTTAGGGGCAGGGCCTCTATCTAAGTTAGTATATTACTCTTCACTTTAAAGCTTTGATACACATTTTTTAGATTTTACCTTTTTATTTTTGAAGAATTTTACTCCTTTTCCCTTTTAGTCTCTTACTACATTTTCCAAATTGCCTTTCTGCAAAATCAGAAATGTTAAAAAGGTGAAAATGTCCTTTTATAGTTGTAGTAGTAAATTTGTAACCTTTATGTTTTTGTAATTTTTACAAAAAAAAAATGATTTTTGTAATACTTCTTTTGCCATTTTAAATGCCTCCATTTTATTACTCCCTATACTTCTAAAAGAGGGTTACGTTTTTCCTTTTTGGCGTTCTCTGATCTTTTAATGGTTATGTTTCAATTATTATTTTTACACATTTTCCTCATACATGCATATTTTCCATACAATTATCCCCATTTATCAAAATATTTACATACTTCTAATGCAATTATTACTATTTACAAAAATATTTATCTACTCTCAAGTCTCAATGCAAATATTCATAATTTCAAAGTTAATTTAATTCCTTAATTCTTGATACATGTGGCATTTAATAATTATTTTTCACTATCCTATTTTCCTTTTTAACCGTATAAAATCACCAAATGTAACCTTATTTCGAGAATCGAGGTAGTACCAATTTAGTCACGAATATAAGAAGTAGATGTCAACAAATTTGTTTATATAAGATTTTATAATACAAAATGTACCAAATATTTGGTAATAACTCATCAGTATCATTAGCTTTGTGCATTATCGATCGAAATGCATAGAATAAAATAATCAAATTAGTCAAAGGTGTTGTATAAATATTTGACTTAAAATTGACTTAACTAGACAATTATTTGGACATCATTTACGCGCCATTCCAACCAATACATTCCACAACAATGTGCAAGCCAGGAAGACTTATGACTTTTAAAGTCTATAAAATAAAAGTTAGATCCTCATGCATTCATTCATATCTTTCCATCTCAAAAGTTAATAGATACATGTTCACTTAGACTTCTTTTATTTAGGAAGTCAACCATATTACATGAATGTCAAAAAAAGAAAAACCAAAAGGCCTAACATTAGTGTAACATATTAAGTAACTAGAATCTGATAATATTGTTTGTGAATGGTGGCTATCCTTACTTGTAGAGTTTTAGGTGGAAATCAGGTCATTCAAATCGGATTTGTATTAATCGGTTTTGTTTGAGATATATTTGGAAGTCTTATCATAACTCCGTAACTATTGTCATTATGTTACTTAATCATGAGAAGAAAAAAAAATTGTTAATCTTAATTAACTTTCAAGTCGGGGTAATTTTGATTTGAATCATGCAATTACGAGTACACTTTTGATTTGGGTCAGGTAACTGGGCATCGGGCATGCTACCCCAAAGTCAGGTAATATAAACATTCATTAGGCACAACTGTCCACATAGTTTACTCTGCAGGTCTCCGTTCCAGCAGTGCAAAAAGGCCAACTGGGTTGGATCACAGCATAGCCATAAAGACTTCTGAGAGTCAAATACTTCATAGAATACCTGTAATTTGTGGACCTTATATAGCATTTATTCTGCTAAAATGCCAAAGTTGAATGTTCTATACAGTTAGAACTCCACTTCGAGTTGAATTATACCAGAAACTCACAGAAATTGGGTGCAGAATCAACAGAGATAAACACTATATATTAACCAAGACTCGATTGCTTATTACCCTAAGACAACAAAACACGGAATTAAGGGGTCATTTTATGATCTTTCCAATAGGGAGTAAGCCATGAAGGTGTCTATAATTAACTGCTTACAGTTCCTTTTTCTGGTTTTTATCTCCAGTTCTACACAAGCACATTCAAAATCATCGACAAAAGTGAATCCAGTACACACAGAGACCAGGACTTGCTTCAGTCGCAGGAGCCCTTGCTTCCTCAAGCGAATTACCTGCCCAAGGCAGTGCCCAACATCACACCCGAAAGATCCTAAAGCTAAAGTTTGCTATATAGACTGCTACTCACCAATATGCAAGGCTGAATGCAGAAGTGAGTGAATTTCATCCTTCATGTATAGCACAGTTACAAATCCACAGTTATTTTCTCTCAAATTTTTATGTCTTTAATCATAACTTAGGTTGTCTTACACTAGGCAATGTTTTGTTAAAGATGGGCTTAATAACTTTATGTGAAGCTAAATTGACTCTTTTACAATAGGGGTGACTTCACACTTCTTTTGGGAAAGACTTTTAATGTCTCACATTTAGTGTAAGATGGTTAAACATGCTCCTTTGAAGGTTTTCTAAACTATAAAAGATGAACCAGCAGAGATCTGTTAACACTATGTTATAGTTTACTATAAAGAACAACAAATTGTCTTATGCTATTTAACATGCAAAGTATTGATTATCATATTATGCACATACTCACAAAATATGTTTGGTGACAATCATAGATCGCAAGCCAAATTGCAGTGGCCGGGGAGCAGCATGCTTGGATCCTCGCTTCATTGGTGGAGATGGAATAGTTTTTTACTTCCATGGTAAGAGCAATGAGCACTTTAGTTTAGTATCAGATCCCAAGCTCCAAATCAATGCCCGCTTCATTGGACTCAGACCTTCTGGAAGAAAGCGAGATTACACGTGGATACAAGCCCTAGGGATCTTGTTCGACTCCCACACTCTCTCTCTTGAGGCCACACCAGCTGCAGCATGGGATGAAGAAGTTGAGCACTTGAAGTTTTCTTATGATGGACAGGAACTAAATGTACCCACAGGATACTCATCAAGCTGGACATCAGCTAATGAAGACCTGAAAATAGAAAGAACAGAAAGCAAAAACAGTGTTATTGTGACTCTACAAGAAATCGCAGAGATATCAGTCAATGTGGTTCCAGTTACTAAGAAAGACGACAGGATACATAATTATCAAATACCTCCAGATGACTGTTTTGCTCACTTGGAAGTGCAATTCCGATTTTTCGGACTTTCACCAAAAGTTGAAGGTGTGCTCGGAAGGACATACCAACCAGACTTTAAGAACCCGGTAAAGCCAGGTGTTGCCATGCCCGTTGTAGGCGGAGAAGACAGATATAGAACCTCAACCCTTTTATCAACAGACTGCAAATCCTGCCTGTTCTCTCCAATTGGAGTACTACATCAGAATTTTGCTTTTATGAAGGACTTGGGCATTGTAGACTGCATGGGCAGCACAAAGATTGGACAAGGCATAGTTTGCAGAAAATGAAAATAAGAATTTTTATCCATTAACAGATTTCATGCATGATATCTCTCTCTTCTTTGGTACTCTTTCATTGCTTTCACAATATTTTTTTATCCATTAGTAGAATAAGAAGTTTATGCCGGCTGTATTTTCATATTAGTAGCAACCAATTTTAGCATAGAGATGCTTTTCGCTTGTATTTGGTTTCATAAGTCAACAGAAGAAATAGGATAGGAAGCAAATAAATCAATGTGATCTTGAAAGGACATCAATATGCAAGATAATAATAGCTGATAATTGCAGAACCTGTGCATTATTTTCTGCATTGCTGAACAATTGTTTTGTGAATCCATTACCTATATCACTATCCTAAAGAAGTGTTATACAAAATGGGAAGCAAAATCCAATTATATAAGAACAAAAAGGAAACAATGGGCTTCCTATAACGATCTTGGGGACAGTATTGGACGAACTTCATTATATTCATTTCTCTATATTACAAATCAAAATAAGCAAACAATGAAGCCAACAAGCAATCAAATTTAACTTAACCTTCTTATACATGTCTGGATGGAGCACCCAACAATTTTCACCAGTATTAAATAGAAACCATCACCCTCATCTTCCACGGGGATTTACTAATTGAGAAAACACGGCGCTTGTTGTAGCATCTTCCGCGTCATCATCAGTACCAGAGTTAGCTCCATTCATCATGTTAACACTATTGTCAAATTGCTCAAGAGAGGTTAATGGTAAACCCTGAATATGATTTGTGCTGTTATCTTCAGGTTCCGCAAGAGCAGATGACATCTCCTCCAGCTGAAGAGCATATTCAAGATTCCATAATACATCTCCCATTGATGGCCTATCGACCCCATACTCTGCCAAGCACTTCTCTGCAGTCTCCCCAAATTTCTTTAGTGAAGCAGAATTTACCTTCCCCACAAGGTTTGAGTCCATAATTTGATCAAGCATGCCTTTCTTTTGCCAAGTCATTGCCCATTCTGCAATATTGACTTGCTCTCTCGGGAGCACAGGGTTCAAAGCTGGTCTAGTGCAGAGAACCTCCATCAAAACTACTCCAAATGAGTATACATCTGACTTTTCAGTCAATTGTTGCCTTCTAAAGTACTCAGGATCAAGATACCCAAAACTTCCCTTAACAGCAGTGCTAACATGGGTCTGATCAAGAGAAGGTCCGGTTTTAGAGAGGCCAAAGTCAGCTACCTTAGCCACAAAATTCTCATCCAAGAGAATATTTGTTGTCTTGACATCTCGGTGAATGATGCTCTGAGTTGCACCAGTGTGGAGATAATGCAATCCCCTCGCAGCCCCAATACATATTTCAAGCCGTTGTTTCCAAGACAGAGACGGAAGATCTGCACCATAAAGATGGCTCCTAAGTGGTCCATTGGCCATGTATTCATAGACCAATATCATCTCAGATCTCTCATCACAGTAGCCAATGAGAGAGACAAGATGACGATGTCTTAGCTTAGACAACATCTCAATTTCAGTTCTAAACTCAGCTATACCTTGTTCAGACCTTGGATTTCCTCTTTTGACAGCAACATTAGTCCCATCTTCAAGCGTTCCTTTGTAAACTCTTCCAAAACCACCAACTCCAAGGAGCATGGTCTCATCAAACTTATTAGTTGCTTCCATGATATCTTGGAAAGAGAAGAACCGACCAAGATTGGTGGAAGTCAATGAAATGCAGCTAGCAGTACCACTCTTTTGAGAAACAGTCGACATTTTTGTCAATGTCAAGGAGTTACCATACAATGGCAAAGGCAACCATGAATGTCCTTGTTGAGGAGTCTTCGACTTGTGAGAAACAAAGCAGCAAAAGAAGAGAGCAATCATCATTACTGCAGCCACTGCACCTACAGATGAACCAATGATAATTGCGGTATGTTTCTTTTTTGATGCTGAAGGAGGAAGAAGATGTTCAACAGGAGAAACTCCATCCAAGCTTCTTGCTTCATTGCTCATCTTAATGATCTCCAGACCATTCATAATACCACTACTATCATCAGCTACAGGATCTGGACCAACACTTATGGTCAAGACACCTGAGTCTGAAGAATTTGCAGCAAAATCCTTGTAGTAAGGCACGTCAAGACCGCCAGTTAAGGATGAAAGGTCTACACTAGCCCAAACATCGGAATTTATGTACAGGTTGAAAACAAGAGAATTAAGCGACTGGCTGACAACATCACAAAAATGAACCCTTATAAAGTAGGTGAAATCTGGATCAACATTGAAAACCCAGGTCATGTTGAAGTTACTATTGGCCACATTCGGATCTCCCATAGTTTCAGCAGTGGCATACACCCAATTTGGTGCTATTTCAGGAGTAACTGTAGCTGGATACTTGATAGTTGAAGGGCTAACAGAAACATTCGTAGCAGAGCTATTCACATGAAGATATTGCACATCATTCTGCCACATTCTGCCTAGAGTATCATTTTGAGCAGTAAGCAATGGACCGCCCATATTTACTCGGTACACAGTCTCAAGTGCTAGCTCTGATATCCCACTAATAGAGGTTGATGGCAAGAACAAAGCCTGGTCAGGGATCAAGTCATCAGGGATGGACACAACTTCAATCGCGTTCACAAACGCAATTGAATTGTTCGAAGGAATAAAAGTGAGGCTCAAGGAATTCGAATCTACATTGATGGCAAACTCCTTCCACATATAAGAACCCTTAAAGTTCTCAAATGTGAAGTTGTTTAGGAGCACAAAGTTTTCAGTAACAACAGTAAGGGAAGCCGATTTCAAGTCATGCCCTGCACTCGAAATCGGATAGAAGTAAAGCCGAACCCAATGATGGCCTTTCTGTTTGATATCAAATTCGTAAGACACACTACGGGTGAATACTCGGGCAGATTGATAAATAGGGAAGGGAGCACTAGAATTGGTGGTAGCAACAAGAGAATTGGCTTGACTACTGAGTTTAACAGAGGAATGCTCTAAATCAGGAATATAAGTTTGGCCTTGAAAAGTGACATTATGTGAAGAACCACAAGCTAATAAGTAAGAATCAACAGGTTTAAAGGCTGCATTTGAGCTACAAACAAACATCCCATATAAAATCAAAGTCATAAACAAAGGCACCCATTTCATAATCTTCATCTTTTTAACCCCAAAAAATGGACTAATCAATCAATTGCCTAAAACAATTCAAAACCCAGAAACAAAATAAACCCAATAACACCCAAATAGTGCAAAACCAAGCTGGCAGCACTTTTACACTCACTGAGGCATTTCGTCGAACACCCTTCAGATCTATCAAACAATGTTCCAACTCATTGAGCTCACAGCAAAGAATGTACAAATTGATAGCAACCCAAATTGGTAAAACGAGGTATAAATTGAATAAGAAAGATGGGTATTTAAATTAAGCTAAAGTTGATGCAATTGAAGTACAAAACTTTTACCTCTTTTGTGTTTCAATTGAGCAGAAGAGAGAGAGAGTGTGTGAGAGAGAGAGCATCAATGGCAGCAAGTAAGAAAGAAAGAAAGAAAGGATACTAATAGTCTAATACCAAGTAGTAGAAGTACCAACTACCATGAAAACTCAGGTAAAGTGAGCTGAAATTGAGCTAACCAGAATTACCAGCCCTTTCCAGGCTGTTGATTAGGCTGTCATTATTCAGGAAGAGAAGAAGAGAGAGAAAGGAGCAAAGGACCCACATTATTTTTAGGAAAAAGATGTGAAACTACAAAACCCAAATCACATTGACATTATTTGAACCAAAACCAGCTGTTTATGTTTTGGGATTTAGGTGTGATTAGAAGATTTGATGCCCCCATTGATTAGATAAGCTGAGGAAGGTTAGTACGAGGGATGCTCGGTTCATAACCATCTTTCATCAATTAACGTGATTTTGCAGTGTTAAGAAGAAAGTTTGTTTATTAAAATGAGACTATGTTTCAATTACAACTATTGACATGAACTTGACTTTATGATTAATTTGATAAAACTTTATCATTAGATATACTCAATAATATGAATCGATCACTAAAACATATATAACATGAACTTGGTCATTAAAAACACTTATGTCATGATCGTAGTCATTTAAGTGCATGCATGCTAGTTTTAGTTGATGTTCACTTCATTATGTAATTTAGTGACAAAGTTTATGTTAAATTGTTTACTTATGTATAAAAAAATTGAAGTCAATAGTTACATTTGGACCATCTTTCAATGCCAATGAATGCAATTGTGTCTAATTAATTATAATTATTTTTGTTCATAAGTAACCATAAGATTCATAACTAAGGGTTTTTAAGAAGTCAATTCTACATTTTCAATTAATTGCATCATAATTGGTTCAATTTCAAAACTACAATAGCTCAAAAGACTCTCTTGTGAAAGGCTGTATCAAACAGAGATGTGGAATACGACATTCGTCAATGTCAGATTTCATACACAATGATCGTGGTTTTGCTTAATTAAAATCTTATTTGATCCTATTTATTTTCTGTTTACTAGCTTTGATTTTTATTGTAAATGTCGTATGGTTTTTTTAATAATAAAAGATATTTTGAACGGTTTGACATAAGATCTAATTGCAAAATTTCTTAATAATAAATGTATGAACAAAATTTATGAGTTTAAAACATTGAATACAGATCAAGAAACAGGCAAGTTGAAAAAAATTAAAATAAATAAGCTCACAAACTAGAAAATCTTTAAACCTAGGCCTTTCATATTTCTAGCCGTATATTAAAGAAAGTCTGATTAATAAATGTGTAACAGGAATAAGAAAAAAAATATAGTATTGCCAGAAGAAGAAAAAAAAAATTAATTAATTAATTAATTAAAAAAAAAAAAAAAAAAAAAAAGGAGATTCTGTTTGTAAAGGTGGGAAGAAATAAGAATTTGCTTGCTCTGCTGGGTTGGGACCATTGATGGGGCCCAATATAACGCGGCTTTCATTTGCAATTTAGCACAGAATAGAATCACTGTCTTTGTGTCTCACTCACTTAGATAACGGTGTTTTTCCTTTGGTGTTATAGTTGACTTGACGCCATTGACCCAAAAACGTTCCGGTGTAACTTCCACACAATTACTAGAGTTACTGAGTTAGGCATGGACCAAATGGCCCCGACCATCCGGGACACCAGGTCCGGTATGTCCAATATTGGTCCACCATGATACAAGAGGCACGAGTCAGTCCGCCCAGTACATGCTTATGTTTAATTAATTAATCTATTAAATTTTACTAAGTTTAATCAACATATCACTTTGGCACGCATTTTACGGAAGATATTAGATTAAGTAAACAGA